TTCATGAAAAACCAATTAGGTAGGTATATATGCTGGGTATGCATATTGTAAACTTCTGAAGAATGAATCTCTTTTAGAGATCAAAGAGTTTTACTATTACGATAATTACAATATTCGTACAATAATTTTCATATGTGAATCATCCATGAACATTACGCTTCTCTTGATTACTGAATTAATACGTAACAAATTGAATTCGGGGGCATATTAGTTTATCGAAATCTATAGTCATTACTTTTGAGTCAGAAAATAAATAATAACTATTAATCACGTATAATAAACAGGTATTAGTAGAAACATTTGAAATTTTCTCATAAAATATGCTCAGAAACTAAGCGAGATAGAGGTATAGTAACTTTGGAGAAAATGATCCCCATCGAATTTTGAGCAACTTTGGTTTTTGTGTGTGGTCTGTCTGTACTCTGTGGTAATCATAAATCGATATATCTCCGGAACCCTTTGACATATCGACTTGAAATTTCGCCATCTTAATGTACTCAAAACAATATCATGTCATTGAAATATAAAGGAAATCGGAAAACTCTAAGGTGGTTTTTCCGGGTATTTTCGATTTTTCACCGGAAGTTTCTTGTAACCACTCAACAAATCGCAAAAGTGGTCCGATCGATTTCATTTTTTGTGAGAAAAAACTCTATCAGGGAGAGACGAAGCCTATTGAAATTGAGCAGGGTCGGAAAATTCCAAGTGGGTTTTTCAAGGAGATTTTCCGAAACACACGATTCGCTTCAAAACGACATATCTCCTGAACCAATAGACTAAATCCAAATTTGAAAAATGCACCGTATGCCTCTTTGATGACGCAACAAATTATTATATCACTATTTTTTCGTGCATCCATCGGAAAATTAAAAAAAAAATGAAAATCAAAACATCAAAATTTGAAATCCTTTCAATTCAATATATATCGAAAACAAATGAAAAAATCGAAAATTATCAGAAGTGCAAAGTTATCCACTGGAACATTTCCTACAAGCTATTACCCATAATTTTTTCTGTAAACCCAATAGTACAGGAAATGAAGTAAAAAATATGAAAAAAAAATTGAACGACCCATAGGGTACCATGAAGACATATTGAAAAACAAAGATTATCGATAGATGAAGCTCATCGACTTCCACTGAACCATGAAAAATTGTTTCCTTTTGTTGATTGGAAGATGGAACAAAAGTGTTGGAAATTTTATTCTCAGATAATTCCAAATATCTCGAAAACAACTGAAAATATCTGGAAATGTTATAGAACCAAAATTATTCCTTTTGAAAGAATCTACAAAAATCCGTATAACATTTTTCTCTGAATACAATAGTTCGGGAGATACGATGAAAAAACTAAAAAATCTACAAGTTCCTAGGTCACTTGCCAATAGAAAACAAAACAAAAAACAAAAGAAAGTAAAAAGAGCACACTCGACTGTCTTTATTTTTCGCCAAAATATGTTGGCATTGTTTTATTACCTTTCTTTTGTTTTTGTTTTTTCAGTCCCTATTGGCAGTCGAGTGGGCTAGGTACGTAGTTTGTGGGAAAAATCTCCAGTTCTCTGAACTTTCATAGCGTCGTATACACATCTTTGGTGCCCAATGATAGTTTCAATATAAAAATATGCTCATGATATGGTGCCATGGCCTTTCCATCTTACATGAGCAATGATAAAATATCATCTGCTTTTATAGCGTCGTATAAATTATCTGACCTCTATACTAATCTTAATACCTAATGAAAACTACATCTTTACCAATATGATACCTTTCAAAAACTACGTACCTCACTTGTTATTCACAATTACATTTTTAACAAAAATAATCGCTTAAGGTGGGCATATTGTATTCACCTACCTTGAGATAAAGTCCTATAGATACGATATACGTATTTGATTATAAACTCACATCTCATATGAAAAATATCCGCAGTAATACATAAGATCAAGGCTACAAGTAGCTGAAGTACAAGATCAAGGCTACAAGTCATGCAATTCATGCAGTTCCCAGTTAATCCTATAATTAGAATTGGTCAAGTTTTTCTGTTCGTGATATAAATTGGTATCAAACAAGGCACATAACCCAAGTCAACCAGAATCGGAATTCTATCTTAGAAGGTATTGAAATAAAACCAGTTTGATGCTTTTTACTTTCATCCCAGTGAATTTATATACATTTCTAGATGCAGTTTTGCTCTTCTCTTCTTTTTCTTTCCAAGACAAGACCAGTTTGACTCGCCTTGAACTTGAAGATGCAACAAAATGCGGGATTGCAAAAAAATATGCGTCTACTTTTACCTTCAGTTCGATGAACATCTCATGGTTATTTTTCTCGTATTTATCAATGATTTTCACTAACTGGAAGAATGCCACTCCAAAATCAATGAATGGACTTCATTTTTACTACAGAATAATGATGTTTATTCGTTGTAGAAATTTGTAATGCGAAAGCATGTTTATTGTTTTTTGACTTCAGTTCATGAAGTTTACAAACAGTAATGTAGCCACTTCCAGATATGAACTTTCAACGTAGTTATCATTACAATCATCGGAAATTTATTCTGGAACAGCGTTGTTTCTCTCGTGGAATTGCTCTTCTCATCAGAATAAAATTGCATATAGAATTAAACTCCTGTTAGGGATCATTATCTCATTCTAAGAAAATTAATGATATATATGATTTTTTATTCGAAAATTGTCGTCTACACAGGGTGTTCGGTAATTGATGGCACACAGAAAAACTTGGAAACACTGTATCTAGGTACCAATCAGCTTCCAAACTGAGTTAGTATGTCCAAATCGTATAATATTATCACCCAAGGAATTTGCAGTTTTTACTGTGTACCAACATTCACGGGCCATTTTCTATACTTACAACAAATGAGAATCAGTCTGTATGTTCAAATATTTTCGAAAAATCATTAACATTATACTTAGAATTCCACACCGGTAATTGGGTCTCAACAGCGAATTAAATCGGATTTTTTTCAACGTTTCAATGACTGAATAGTATTGTTCATGAAACTAAATGAACACAAATGAATAAATAAATTCTGAAATAATTTGATTTTCATAAATAATATCACGATGTTCTGAATATTTGGGATAATTCTGTTGCTTCATTGTTCACGAAATTGTGATGCCGAGCAACAGAGTGGTATTCTGCTAGACTATTTCACGTACACGAAGCATAAAAAGCATTTATTATAAATGAGTGATTCATTCTGACAAGTACAGCCATGATTATTTAATGCCAAACTAACAGACTTAACTTCGCTATCCATGGTTACATTGTTGAAAACATCAATGCTGTCAGACCAATCAGAATTGTGTTTGTCGCGATAAGCGAACGTTCTCTATGGCTTGTAATTGGTCAGATTATTTGATCAGATTCAATCTGTGGTGTGAAATTTCCTTACCAAAATCCATACAAGGTTGAATTATTTCCCGGAATTTTTTTCACCTCTATAGTGGTATTACTAGTGAAAATAGGCGTTTCAAGAGATTTATGATGCGTTTGAATATATCAAATTCATGCAGATACTCTTGATATTGTGGATTTTTTCGGTAGTTTCAGTTTCGTCCATGCCTACTGCCCACATGTATGTTCATTGTGAAAAAAACAATTGAGTCCATACCTATCAATAGCCCCATGACAATTAACAGTAATTGATAAAAGTGCGACGTCTAATATTGTACTATAATAAGAATTTTCTCACAGCTTTGAACTTTAAACTGAAGCGATGACACAGGCATTTGGCATTCAGACTCAATTTGTACGAGAATCAATGTAGTAATAATTATAATACAAATTATATAATCACTGCTCAATGCTTCATCCTTGATGATTGTAGTTGGGAACCAGTAAATCCAGTCTCATTGCAACGTTGAATGAAAATGAGAATGCCCCAGAAGTTCAAAGAACTTTCGTTTTATTATATAAGAATTGTTATCATTGTCAGCATTCAAGATTTCAAGATTTCTTCTTCGCCAGTTATTAATTCAATTAAACCGAAAAAATATTATCCAACAAAATACGATTAGAATGGAAAAATATGTGGATATATGCAAACCATACTATATACGAGTTCCAAAAACAAAACGCAAGTATAAAATATATCTACAACCATTCAACAAAACTTGAATTATACATTCCCCATGCAGACATACATAAAGCCGTCATAAGTAATAAAAATTTCAAGTTAACTAGAAATTATTTGTAACAAAAGTAATCACTATTGAAAAAAAATAAAAAAGAAATAAAAATAAAAACATGTTTTTGAATACTGTTGAGAAGCACGATCATAATACACGCTTCAAAAGCCACCTCCAACCTGAGAGACACCGGACTACGTTGTACCAGAAAAGTTTTCATTATACTGGTTGTAAACTATATAACTCTCTTGATGAACAACTTAAGAGCTCCAAAAACTTGAATATATTTGAAAAGAGGCTTAAACAACAGCTAATTCAAAAGGCCTGCTATACGCTGGATGAGTATTTTATGTAATTCTATGTAATGTTAGTAACGTGATGAATATATTGTATTTAATTGTGATGCTGTCGCATTGTTTGTTTGTTATATTTTTTCTTTTTTTTTTTGACGTACTTTACTGTTTCATGTTATACATTTAACAGAAAATAAAAATTATAATTATTATTATTATTAAAGGAATATTCTCAGATGAATTATGAATATGAAAAAATGTATTTCTTCACATATATGTATATCTCCATTTTTCCATGTTCCCAATTTATCTGATAATATTCCTTTTCAATACTTCCACCCAATCAAGGAGTTCAAACTTGAACGATAGAAACTTATTATTTTTATAGACTTCCAATAGCTGATTCGTGATTAGGTTTTCTCAAGTCATAATTTCTTTCCACGTTCTTTATGATGAATATGAATTTGTCATACATCCAAAAACAAAAGTATTCAACTATTCTATTTGTTGCAGAATGAAAATCATAATTGGCCTTCTCCTAGTCGCTACTGCGTTAGCTTACCCTCTGGCAGAAAATGAAGAGAAGCTACCCAGCCAGCCAATACAACCCAACGGACAATCTCCATTAATCCAAACTCTTCCACAAAAACCAGAAGAAACCCTACCTGCCAACGACTCATCCGCAGAATCCTCTTCATCAGAAAGCAACGAATCCTCAGAAATAAAACCAGCCCAACCGCTGTCTGCACCAGCAGCCGATGAACAAGAAAAACCCGCTGAAGCACCCAAACCAGCAGAGGAATCCAAACCTCTAGCAGACGCAGCTTCCACCCTTGCCCCAGCAATAGCCGCCGCAAAATCAGCTCTTCCAGCCAATGACGAACCACAAGAAAAACCTCTGGCCCTACCAACCTCCGTATCCCAAGAAAAGCCTTTGGAAGAATCAATCAAAGCGACCGCTACCGAAATCAAAGAAGAAATCGTGAAGCCCAGCGAACAGAAAGTCGAGAAGAATCCTGTCGCTGAAGAAAAGCTCCCCGAGCTCAAGAAAATCGATCCTCAGCCCGAAAAAATCGTACCTACAGATGCCAGCATCCAATTGAAAGCCGTTCCAGCTGAACCAGCCCAAGCTGAAGGGGTAGCCCCACTGAAATCTATCCCTCTCGAACCAGTAGCTACCGAAGCAAAAGCCCCAGCTCAACCTACTCCAGCAGTGCAACCAGTCAAGCCTCTCGAGCACACGAACCAGCTCAGGTCCGTTCCTGCTTCTGTTGCAGCTGTACAACCAGTCCCAGAGCAAATCCAGCCCAAAGCTGTACAACCAGCAGTAGATAACATCCAAGTCATTCCAGCCCCAGAAAGCGAGAAGAAAGCTAAATCCGAGGATGCCCCAGCGGAGCCTCTGGCAGAGGCACCGAAACCCGAGGTCGCCAAGCCTGTTGAGCCACTAGCCAGCAGCAGCGAAGCCCCTGCAGTACCGGAAGTGAGGAAGCCAGAGGCTGCTTTGGAAGAGGCTAAGCCGATCTTGGATGCGAAGCCCGAGCAGAAACCAGCAGAGCCCAAGGGCGAGCAGCAAGAAATCCTGCCGAAGCCGAGTGCATCGAGTTCTTGAACTGTTCCTAAGTGGAGATTTTTTTGGAATGACTGATGGTGGCGAGGTCTGCTTGCCCTTTCGTTCGAAACGCCGACTTAATTTTTTCACCCTCGAATTATTGGGCCGACCGGACCTCGCGCCATTTATTTATGTAACGTGCTCAATTGTTTAGGAAACAATGAAATTTTTAGGCACCTGTCGTGTTTTGTTGTAAAAACCGTGTTGTTTTATTTTATTGTATGTTTGTATAATTTTTTTTTTGTTTTGATGATGAGAGTGAGGCGATATGTTTTGAGGATATGAAAATTTTTAATTCCAAATTCTTAGGTTATTCGGTCATCTTCTACTCATTTTAAGTGTAAGAATAATAATAATAATAGTACTTTATTGAACCAAACATGATCCAAAGGGTTATTGACCGAGGTCCTTCTACCCAAGTGTAAGATTTTATGTATATCGAAAGCTTTCAATAAAGTTTTATACATATTCTGGTACTTGTTTTGATCGAAGTTTTTTTCATCCATGTTGTGATTAACCAGTTGATATATAGGGTGAAATTTTAAGAACAATAAACAGGACATTATTTTGAAATCGAAGTGAGAAATGTTAAAACAATACCATGCAATTCAATATTTGAAAAGTAGCATTCCTTGATTCGAAACGAAAAGTCAAGAAATCCGCTTGCATTCTTCTGAACGGAGACAATAGCATGCTTCCTGTTCAGCTGATATAGATAGAACAAATGGTATTCACTATTGAAAACTGAACATGAAAATGGTAGATTCAAGATCAATTAATGAAAACATCCTGTAACTCATTTGTATACTAACATCATCACTCATCTATATGCCAACATCAGTATGTTACTGAGAAGTGTCAAACTAGAACAGAATTTCCGAAGAATAGTATATTGTGCAACAAGTGGGAAAAGTTCAACTTTCCTCACGAGTTCGAAAGTTTGTGAAACAAGCCTGAAGGGCGAGTGATGCAAACGCACGAGTGAGAAAAGTGCTTTTCCCCACATGTTGCACACTATACTTTTTCTACAACTGCACTTTTTCAAAGAATCCGAGTAATGTAGCTTATTGGTATTCATTTTATTATGTGGCACTGTGCCACATTGAATATTGTGACCAAAGAGTAGACGCCTTTCCTAGTTCCTCAAAGAATTTCAAGAAAGTACGTACACTTTCCGAAAAAGAATTTATTTCTGTATTTTTATAGATTCCATGAATTTTTCGTACCAATATGCCAATTGATACTCTTTTCTTGAAATTTCCAGAAACAAATCCAACTTTTGCAGCTTTTTCCATTATCTCTGTCTCTGGCGGTATATTTATCATTTATCAAAATCGTCACATCTCGGTATATAAATCATATTATTTATTATGAATTGTTGGAACAATATTTGATGGAAAATGCGATTTCTATCAGAAGCACTAATGAGAAATACCCTAAAGAATTTAAAAAACTTCTTCTGACAGTTGAACTATTCAAAGCTGAACAGCAACCAAGTTTTGATCGATTTTTGTTGATTCTCCATATGGAAATGTATGTGGTGTTGGCAAAGTGCCGTGAGAAAAAATATTTCTCACAGTATGGGCAATACATGGTTTTGAAAGTGAGTGAGCTATGAGAAATGCGCTACTATTCATAGCAGTCGTAAAAAAAAGTATTTCCCATTTTTATACTGAGAACGGGAGCAGACTCGTTTCCGAAACGTCCAAAGATAAGTGAAAATAATTCGATATATTTTGGGGATTATCATCTGATTTGTCCTATACTTCACAAATATTGAAATAATACTCATATTTTTATTTCGTAGAAACGAGAGAAAATCGTAAATAATTAAGTAAAATGATATACGGTATCTTTTACGGAAGTTATCAACTATTTAAAATACTGGATGTACAGGAGGCACAAGAAAAAATAAATATATTTCTTCAAATGAAAATCCTCTTATACCAGGTGTCCTAGTATACCCGTTTCGATAAAATATCTCTCAGTTCAGGCTTTTTATTTCAAATGCCACCCTGTATATTAATTTTCAGTTTTTTATTTCCATGCAATATGATTTTTCCAATATACAGGCAATTTGGAGCTTCACTTCGAACGTACAGGGTGTTCAATTGGCTCAAATAATTTTTCATTCACAATTCGAAATTTATATGAGTAAGGACAATGCGCTAGGGGGGGAGAAACACCCTCTCACTCCCCCTCATGCGGACGCCACTGGTTCTGGATATTAATATTTAAGTTATAAGTGGTTGAGGAAATATTAAATAATCTATTAATCATAGAATCAAGAACTGCTTATTTATGAGAAATGGGATAGCAAGATAGTTTAACGGTAAATAGAGAAGTCGAACTTGTCATTGGCTATTGACTTTCAAATCCACTAACCGGAGAGTGATTTCAAAATTTCTAAGAGCAAGTTTACTTCTTGTACTGTACAGTACCATCGAAAAGGACCAAACAATCATCTACATAATATCTGTATTACCATAAGTTTATTTTATGAAAATATGGAGAGTGTTGAAGGATGTTTTCTAAAAAGGAAAATTTCTTCGAAGAGAGGAGAGAAATTGCTAGCAATAACTAAAGCAAAAATTTGTGAATACTGGGAGTTATCAAACTAGTGAGGACTATGTTCAGAAGGTGACAAAGGTTGAGATCGTGGAAAGTAATTATATTAGAATCAAGAGGGAGATTACGAATCAGCCTAATGAAATCACCTGGAAGAACACTAGTTTATAGTATAGTATATCAAAAGATACACCAAGACAGCATTAGGTGAAATAATCACATTTTCAATTCTATTGATGAGATCAAAGAAGGTATCCAAAGTTGAAAGATTATGGTATAAGAGAAATATGGTGAGAATTTAATGAATACTCTTGATCACCAGTCACCAGTTGCACTGAGAGAAAACTTGAGTTATCATAATTGGAAATCTGATAACCGTTATTACGATATCTGCAATAAATAGGGGACAGATGTGTTCATTTGCTACCATAGATGAAGTGAATTTTCAGGTGACTTGTAGTTATGGCAGCTTATTCAATCTGCAAACTTGTATAAAAACACTGCTGCTGAATAACTACTACTTGTTCTAGTTTCTATGATAACACAGAATGTCGAATAGGAATTATTTCCATAAAATGTTGCAGTAACTCTCCACTCTACAGTGGTTATTAGATTATCGACATAAAACAGCATGTTTTTATTACTGGCACAACCATCTTGTGGTAATGCAGTAATACGTCTCATTTTATTATAGTTATCTGATATCTGCATGAAACCTGACATTTTGACATGCTATTGTAATATAGCTCATTTTCAACAGTTATCCCAATATTTTTCTACTCTAGTATCAAACATCAAACAGTGGTAATGAGGTTTTCTAATCAACATTATTATGAAACCGTGCTTCGAATTACTGCAATGAAAATAAATATCCTATCCACACTATCACTTTTCATGATCCAAAGTTATTGTTTTCAAAAAAACAAAAAAACACGTTTAGTCTCTGAATTGAGATATTTGGGTATCTGTCGAAGTTATTTGACATCATTCATTGATTTTCTCGGAGAAATATCATCTATATGCATTACTGACGAATTTATTGAGAAATGAGAAGTTGAATACTTATATTTACCCTTCCTTCGGAGTTATGATGAGAATTGTCAATAAAACTTTCCTAACAGAAACCCAGATATTTTGATTCAGAATCTGATCGATCATTTTGTTTTTGAAATAAACCAATTTTAGGCCGTGAAAAGTGGGTATGGAGAATACTTTTTTCATTGCAATAATGCAATGCACGGTGTATTCCACAGATCGGTTCACAGCCAGCACTAAAACAAGACTTTGCTACATCACACACATTCACCTATACAAGACACGGCTCTATCGATTCGGAAGATCGAAACCATAGAACAATAATTATTGAACACGGGCACCCATGACCGAGAACAGCAGTGAAATGAACGCGATCTGTATCTTTGTCAGCCTTAATACTAATGAAACACTAGAGCGAAATGAGCCGAATTACGATTGTCGAATGATTGCCTAATAACCGTCATACATGTGAATTGCTAGAGTTATTCGTCAACGTACAATGCTAGAAACCCAAACAGCTATGATTATTGGGACAAACATTATCTGAATTCACCAATGAGCATAATTCACAAAACGAGCTATGTCAATAAAAAATCTTAATAGACTGGAATTTATAAAATTCTCATAATGTCATAACACATCTGCGTTATGATGGTAGCAAATTTCCATTCAAGGGTATTACAAATGATTTAAGAAATCGATTTTTATAATTACAGAATGGAGAGAATACTGTTGTAATAATAAAATGATCAGGAATAGGAGATTTTCTTATAATGGTTATTACAATCAGAGCTGGTAGATATTTTTAATATCCAGTTTCTCTCAGTGTGGGGTCACCTACACCTTTTCCAGTTGTATTTCAGAAAGCGTCTATTGTATTCCAGAATAGTCACTGGTATTTCAGAACACATCAATTGTATTTCAGATTGGTCAATTGAATTTCAGAAAGCGTCAATTGTATATCAGAATAGTCAGTTGTATTTCAGAAAGCATCAATTGTATTTCAGAATAGTCAATTTAATTTCAGGAATCGTAAATTCTATTTCAGAATAGTCAATTGTATTTCAGAAAGCATCAATTGTATTTCAGAATAGGCACTTGTATTCCAGAACACATCAATTGTATTTCAGAAAGCGTCAATTCAATTTCAGTGTGATATTTCAGGAAATGAAGTTCATATAAACATGTGACCTAACTTGCTTCATTTTCGAGATACAAAGTATTAATATTTCCATGGAAAATCTTTTTTCTATTCTCAATTGTCTCTTCATCAATTTCAATAAAACGTTCATGCTTGTACGAATTCCGCAAAATTTATGCGAATCGCAAAATATGAAATTTCCGACAGAATTTGACGTTCATACTCATGCGGCAAAATATGCAGGTGATAAGGGTTG